GTGTGTGCATGTGTTAGACAATCTTTTCTGGGTGAGGGATTTCCTACTGCTCATCAGTGTCTCAAGTGTCAATGCCCTTACAGGAATTCACAACACAGCACAGGTGCTTGTGATCGGATGATGATATCACAAGAAAAAGGACACGTCTTTAAAGTCTTTGCAGATTTAATTTTAGTGTTGCAAGTAATCTGGACCTTTGGAATTTATTAAGTTGAATTTGATCAGCTCATTTGTAATGTTTGCTTTTTCATGACTTCACATAGGTCACAGACTCAAGGCTTAATGGTGTTAAAAATGACAGGAGAGTGCTATGAAAGAAGAGGCTAAAGGTCAAAACAAGAGAGAGATCCCACCATCAGTAGCTGGTCATCAGATGGCCAGTGTCACGTTTCACATGCCCGACACAGGCATTAATCAACAATCGAGACACTGTTGATGTCTGCACACTGAGATAAAAAAAAAGGCTGGTCTCTAAATTCTGCTAATCATGAGATAGTGGTAAATGAAGCCTTTCGCAGTAAATATTCGGTAGCCTTCTCTACGCCACTCAAAGATTAATTGGATCTTTAAACAATTAAATAATTAATAAAACATGTTAATGTTTTTATTAATTTGTTTGTTTACTGCATTCATATGTAGTCTCTTTGGGTGAAAATTGATTCATTCTATACTGAGTTACAGTTTATATGACTTTTATGGTGACAAACATATGATTAAGATAATACTGTTACACAACATAAAGCACAAATACTCACTGGATTGTCTGGGCAATGCTTTGACACGTAGCTACAAATACAGCTTTTTTTCCCTTTAGCTCACGAAATGTATACACAATGACATTTAATTTTGGACACCTGGAATATCTAAATTATTATACATTAATAATTTATAAATATGTCAACAACGTGTTTAAAACACGTCAGGGAGGAGGTAGAGATTTGATAGGGTGTTCTTGTCCAATATTTTCATGTGTGTGAGGGTGCACGGGTATGTATATCTGTAGGTTGTGTTTCCTTTGAGGTGTTACCGGAGTTATTGAAAAGGTGTATATGTGTGTATGTGTATATATGTATGTATGGATAGATAGAAAGATAGATATACATATAATTAATAAATTAAAAAAATACATGTAAAATATAATGTAATTGTAAGGAGGTATTTCTGTAGTCTATTGATTACCAGATAGTGGAAAGGGGGTGGGATTAAATAAGCTTATGCTTCTTCCTGCTCCTTTTTGAACATGAAAGTTATTTGTAGTTGTGGTTGCTCGTTTTCCTTTCGTTTTGCTTTGTTTGTTTGTCTCTTTTGAATTCTATGTTGTTGTACTTTTTCCAACATGTTCAAAAGAAAGATTCAATCAATCAATTAAAAGAAACTAAAAATTACATTGTTGTTTATTAGGCAAATACCAAACTGAATTCATGTTTTTATACTCAAAGTTAAGGCCAGCCAACAGTAATTACATTTTAGCTTTAAAAATATAATTTCGACTAAAGAGCTTGCATATGCTGGCAGGATTAACCATTACAGGAACATAAAAAAAGATGTTGGTAATTATGTGTATCTCATAAAACAAATGAAATGGTGATGAAAATAAACCTGAATATATATAGGCAAACCAAACCAGCTGATCAATAGACATCAGTCATCAAAGCAGAAAACAGATAAAAACAACCAAGGACTGAAAACAGCCACCTGTTGATATAAGATCAATACTTCAATAATTTTTACCTTGACATTATACAAGCCTGCTTGTGTAAGCCATCAATCATCCAGGTGACTGGGCAGAAGATGATGTCATAGATGAAGTCATACTGTTTAAAGTGCATGGGCACGACATGTGAATCATTAAAGTTGTCTTACCAAACTGCAAAGCATTGCCCCGACCATCAACACTCATTTATTTCATGTAAACAGTGATCTGTTTCACATAAACACTACTTTCCGGTGCTTCTGTGAGTATACCGCACCTCGGCAATGATAGGCGATGCCTCTTCTTTTGCGTAGTCTTCTCTGTCTGTGTTGGTCTCAAAGATATTGTTGTAGTTCTGGATAAGTTTGGCCATGATCTTGTTACAGATGTTCTGGTTCTTAAGTGCTTCAAATCCAGGAGCCACGCTAAAATAAAATAAAATAAGATGAAATTTAATTGAAATTCTTTAAAGGGAAAGGTCATTCAAATGAGCACCAAATAAATATCCATAAACACTAATGTGAGCACTTTAATAGGAACTACATTCAATGGCCAGTATGTTAGGTACACCTGTTCAACTCCTTATTAACACAAATATGTAATTAGCCAATTGCATGACAGCAACTAAATGGTCAAGATGAAGTACTAAAGTTCAAATCACAAGGGCAAGAAAGCTGATTTAAGTGATTGATTGTTGGTGTCAGATGGATTTGTCTGAGTATTTCAGAAACTGTGGGGATTTTCAAGCACAATGGGTGAAAATGTTGTGTTGAATGCCTCAAGCTAACTCAAATAAACACTCATTACAACCAAGGTATGCTGAAGAGCATCCCCTGAACCCTGCACATTAGCTAAGAATGGTAAATGTAGGCTACAGTTGAGGTTAATCAAAATTCAAGCAGAAGACTCTTTAAACATTTCCTGGTCTGATGAAATTTGATTTCTGCTGCAACACTCTGATGGCAGGGTCAGAATTAGGCATAAACAAAATAAGAACGTGGATACATCCTGGTGTTGGTGTTATGATATGGTCTTTGCACACATAACATCCCGTTATGACCCAAGTGTACCTGTCTTCTGATTGCTGTTTCCAGCAGGACAGGATGCCATGTCACAAAGTTCACCTCATCTCAAACTGGTTTCTTGAAGCAGCGGTTTCAGTGAGTTCACTGTACTCAAAAAGCCTCCACAGTCACCAGATCTCATTCTATTGAGCACCTTTGCTCATATAGCAAAAAGGTGTGCAAAAAGGTCCGACCCAGCATTAATGGGAAGCATTAATGTTTATATTATGCCCTGTTCATGGATTTCTGTAAAGTAATAAGTGTGTGTAGTTTGGTAGAAAAAAACGGTCACTTTCATTAAATTTAAAAAGAAATCAGACATCTGTAGATCTAAAGCTAACACCAAAACAACATAACTTGAATTCATGGGTGGACTATCCCTTTGAACCTGACTATAGCAGCAGCAATAAAAGCAAAAATCTGTACGGAACAAACATGACTAAGCTGTAATCTTGATACTGAAATAGAAAGTAAGTCCCCAAGTTGTCAGACTGAATCCAGCTTCTATAACAAGTTTGTATGATACTGCCAAACAGCTGTGTGAGATGTACACTGGGCTGCGGGCCTATATGTAGGTCTAATTATATAACCTCTACACAGTCTGAAGAGAACAGACTGTACAGTATGAAAGAGTATCCATTACAGTGTCTCTGATATCAGTTTCCACGGGAATCCCGGCCTTAATTAACCAATTTATCGCTGGAGATTCCCGCTGGTTATCAGTCTAGACAACACTACAGTTACATGGTATGGCCTTGTCTTGGTCTTGGTATGGTATGGTCTTTGCACACATTGCAACATAACATAAGTTATTATCAACCATCCCATTATGACCCGAGTGTATCGGTCTTCTGTTTGCTTTTTTCAGCAGGACAGGATGCCTTGTCACAAAGACTGGTTTCTTGAATCAGCGGGTTCAATGAGTCATTGTACTCAAAAGGCCTGCACAGTCACCAGGTCTCAATCTACACAGCACCTTCAGGATGTGAAGACTGGGAGATTCACAACATGGATATGCAGCGCATATAGCAAAAAGTGGGTCCAGCCCACTACTAGCAAATACTATTTTCGCTTCCCACTTTGGATGGAGCAGCTCTCATTTCTAGAAATATCGACAAATTTATTAAACCCCTCAAAATATGACTATCCAGAGTTGGGACCAGGAAGCAGAGTTGCAGTCTTACACGCCTCTCTGCAGCTTCTCTCCTCCTGCTACCCCCCCA